GGCGCTCGTGCACCCCCGCCCCGCCCAGCTGTGACGCCCCATGGCCCTGACCGTACCTCTCCTCCAGGTTTGGGGGCCCCCCTGCCTCCGAGAGCTGCCCGGAGAACAGCCCGGCCCGGGGAGGCCCAGACCGGAAGGAAGCTGATGGGGATGTGGCTCGGGCGGGGGCTCCTCCAGCCACTGCCCAGGACGGTCCCCGCACAGAGGGTGGCTCAGAAGGTGCACACCTGGGGTGCTGAGTTCCGGCCGGGTGGGGGACCTGGGTGATGGAGGATGGAGCGCCCTGCCTGTGCCTGGTGGGTGCTCCCCGGAGCCCGACACCCACTGAGCTGTCAGGGGAGGTCACGACCCTGCAGGCAGTGGCTTCCCCATGCCACGGACTGCGAGGACACGGGGCTGGTGGCCACTGCTGTGGCTCAGTCCTCAGCAGCTCCTCTCAGCCACGTCAGCCACCAGGCCCACTGGGAAGATGGCTCTTCTCGTGGGGCCCCCCTTGCTGCCTCTGGGCTGGGGGTGCGGAGGGCAAGAGGGGCCGACCTCCTGGTCAAGGGCCTGGCCCACTGCGTCTCGCCCTGGCAGGCTCCACATGGACAGCGTTTGATGAACCCGTGAGTCCGACTGCTCCAGCCCCAGGAGTAGCAATGGATGTGGGTTCCAGTGTGTGGGCAGCCAGCACCCGCGGCGCCTCGGCTCTGGAGGAGAAAGGCTGGGCCAAGTTCACTGACTTCCAGCCTTTCTGCTGGTAAGGAAGGCAGGGCAGGCCGGAGCAAGCTCGTCCGCCTCTGGGACAGTGTCTCCCCGGCACGGCCTCAGCCTCGGCTTCATCCACAGCTCCGAGTCGGGGCCCGGGTGCAGCTCCCCGGTGGGCACAGGACGTGGCGATGCCCAGGGTGGCCTGAGCCAGGGCCTGGAGAGAACCCGTGAGTCAGCAGCCGTGAGGGCGGGGCAGTGGGAGGCGGCGGCGCCGGCCCAGGATGGGGGTGGCAGGCCTTCGGGCCCCCTGGGGGTGCGGGTCGGGCCCTGCATTCATCTGTGCTGCTGCGACCACTGGCCGCCTGCCTCGTGCCACTGAATGCCCGCCGCGCCGCCTTGTGTCGTCTGTGCAGCCTGCCCCGAGCCCCCGGCCCCGCGCCCCCTCCAGACAGGCGTGGAGACCCCAGTGTGTCGGGGCCACACAGGGAGGGGTGGGAGTGGGCAGCCGCAGGGGAGGGCAGTGCCAGGATTTCAGGCTGGACTCTCGAGTGCCCGCATGCATTTGGGGCCTCTCCACCCTCACCAGTGTCCCTGGCCCTGTCTTGCAGCCGACCCTGCTGCCCCGTGCGCCTGGAGTGTGTGTGTCTCCAGGGACGCCCCTCTGGTGGCCTCAGACAGCAACAAGGACGAGCAGGAGGCAGCTGTTGCCTCACAGGCTGCCAGCACGGGTCCCAGTCGGGAGGCTCCCCCAGTGCCCGCATCAGCCCCCAGGTGTGCGGGGCGGGGTGGGTGCAGGCACCTGCGGGTCTCGTCTCCATAGCACTCGGCTTGCCCAGGAGCGGGCAGAGCCTGCTGCCTGATGGCCCCGCGACCCCATGGAGGGAGCTCTGTAGGGAGGGATGGCCCCGGATGATGGGTGTTGAGATAGCACAGAGGGCCTGAATGTCCCACCCCAGGGTCCTGGGAGTGGGGCCGCCCCACCCATAGGCCCACCTTGGAGAGAATGGCCAGGCCTGTGGAGCTCTGGCCCAGCAGAGCCACCACTCCAGGTTCCGGGGTGGCCCCAGGGGGTGGGAAGGGCACTCGGCTTCCGTCCTGTCTGGTGTGTATTGAGTTGTGGGCACATGCCCCGCTAAGCCGGCACCCGGGAAACGCCCATCACACTCCGTCAGGAGGATGGGGGTGTTAGGACTTTGCCACTGAACCCCGATGGGCGGGTGTCCTCCCTGCAAGCTCAGCCCCCACCGTGTTCCACCCCCATAATCAAGAAGCAGGTCTTGCCTTTGGGATTCCTTGATGGACAGACAGACCTCCCCTGGCTGGACTAGGTGGGGGAGGGGACGACTTGGGGAGCTGTGTTTCGGAAACTAGGGAAGGAGGGGCAGGTGGTCTGCTGGCCTGACCCCACCAAGAGAGGTCAGGGAGCAGACAGGCGACACAGGAGGGGGTGTTCTCTGAGGGAGACGGGCCCTCGGTGGTTTTTGCCACAGGTGGGGCAGGCCGGCCCCTGGCAGGGCCCCCCACCCCTGGTCCCCACGTGACTGTGGAGCTCTGTGCAACCTGTTGTTGGGGTCCCACTCTGGCTCACAGCACACTTAGTCCTGGGACCCCAGATGACATGGCCTGTTCCCTTGGGCCCCCCTGCCCCCCCACCGTTTCCTTGAGGAATCATACAATTCTTAAATTTCTTCCTAAGTCTCCCCTCTCCAAAAACAACTGTGCTCTGAAAAGTACATTATGTCATTCTGAAAGCAAACTGCCCACTTCCATGGGGCCGTCTGCACGGGCCTCATCGTGCCCACTCTGGCTGGCGTGGGCTTGCACCTTCCCTAGTCCCTTCAGTGGTCGGCAAGCTCCAGTGGGTCTGTCCCTTAGCTGCCCCACGCACCTGGCGCGGCCCCCACCATGAGGCCCCTGCCCTGACCCTGCCCTTGCAGGCTCCCAGGGCTCCTGGTGCAGCTGGAGTTGGCACATTCAGGGGAAGCGATTGCTGGCCAGGTGTGCGCCAGGCTGGGGAGTCCCCAGCTGGGAGGGAGCTTCTGGGCAGACATGCGTGTGGGCTGTCAGGGCAGTGCCAGGGCCCATGTCCTTCACGGTAACGGGGAGCATGTCTGTGCCGGTGGGGTGGGGGCTGCCTGGAGGAGGCTGGAGGCCTCAAGGGCAGGTGGGCTGTCTCTGGCATGTTGGGAACTCGGGACAGCCCAGGCAGCTGAGCCCTCGCCTGCCACACAGGGCCACCAGCACGCTGCCAGGCCCCACCTCCCCTGCACCTGCTGAAGCCACCTCTGCCCTGGCTGGGGCTGTGCCCCCTGCGGCAGCCACCACAACGGTCCCCCCAGGGCCCATGGTGGCTGTCACCACTGCAGCCACAGCCGGCCCAGCCGTCTCTACAGTGGCCGTTCTGGGGACAGTGACAAAGGACAGGTGAGCAGGTCGGGCCAGGGAGAGGGGTCTGGACAGGGACCCTCGGACCGTTGGGCTCCAACCCCACCCTCTTCCTGCAGGAAGGTGGACGTGCCACCACCCACAGGAGCCACCGCCAACGGCCCCGCGTGATGCTGCCACGCAGCCGTGGCACCCTGAATCAGAACCTACCTGGTGATGCGATTTGTCTTTTTTAATTTAATTTAATTTTAAAATAAATGCTGCATTGGTAAAGCTGGCAGTGGGACCCAGTTGGACGGCCCAGCTTGCGTCACTCCTGCCTGCCAGACCCCACGCACAGCAATAAGGCTTCAGGCGTGCACTCTGCCCGCCGGGGCCGGGGCCGTGGCCCTGAGGTGCCACGAGGACCGAGGGCGTGCCGGGTGGACGCCGCAGGCTGCCGGTCGGTTTCTACTGACTTTTAACCAACGCAGGAAGAGCCGTGTTTGCACTTTGTACCCAGCTGCGGTGAAGGGGTCCCCTGTCTCGGGACGAATGTTTGTCCAGAGCTGCCCAGTGGCCGTGGGAGCTGGCCTTGGAGCCAGGATGCAAAATCTGACTGCCTTAAAAACACCTCTCGGCCTGGCGGGGGTGTGCCAGCCCCAGCGCTCTGGGGTGGGGCGTTCGGGCACCCGGCAGGAGCTGGCCGCGGGCGTGCGGGAGCGGGCGGGGTGGAGGTTGGCCGCAGCCGTGCTGGCGGAGGGGTGGGGGGGGCCCGCACCTGTCCAGGGCAGGGCCACCACCCCGGCAGGCCTGCAGGGTTGTGTGATGTTCGTTTCCAGCATTCTGATCTGACAGGGCACCTGAAACCCCAGCTCCCAATAAAGCTGTGTTCTTACTGACAAGCCTGCGTGGTGTTCAACTGCAGGCCCTAGAGCCCTAACCCCACCAGCAGGGCGCGAGGGTGGGCAGTGTCTGCTGCCAAGTCTCACCCCAATGAGCACATGGGGAGCTTTCTCTTCCTGTGCTCTGCCTGGGCCGGGGAGGGGGGGCGTGGGGAGTGTGGCTGCCCCAGCAGGGTCTGACACTGGCTGCTCGGGGCCTCGGCGAGGACCTCCGAAGAGGCCGTAGTGCTCTGGGGACCTTGCCCTAGGCACCTGTGCATTGGTGACTGCTGGCCCCGTGACCTAGCACCCCCCGCCCCAAACCCCATGGTTCCCCAGATCCAGACGTGTGGGTTTCCTGGGTGTTGGGAACTGCGGTTCCACTGCTGTCCACGTGACCTAGAGAACCTGGGTGTCCCTCTCATGGCCCAGCTGAGGGCCCCCCATGCCTGCAGAGGCCCCACCTGCACCTGTGTCTGCACCTGCTGCTTACCTTCCACTTGACAGGTGCTGTGTCTGCGGTGTCCACACCCCATCTGCTGCCCACCCCACACGAGGGAGGCCCTGGGTGTTGTGGGGCAGGAGCCCACTGTCACCGAGATGAGCTGGGAGGGGGAGGGCACGTGGAACGGACTTCCTAGGACAGGGGCCTCAGGTAACAGCCTGCCGCGCAGGACTGTGCCCCCCGCCCCCACGTGTAAACCCTTTCCCCATGCCCTGGAGCACCTGGATTCCCGGCCCACCCTCGGCGTCTCCATCCTATCTGACCAGGGACCAGCGCATCTCCATGACCCCATCCTCCGGAGCCACCCCCACAGATCCAGCACCACCTCCCCTTTCGGAAACTGTCCCTCCTCACAACACCGGGCACTGCCCGGGCAGGGAGGGAAGTCTCCGTCTCTGGCTGTGCCGGCCCCAGGACCACCCCGGCAGGGGCCCCCGGGGCCATGGACGACCAGCCACCAGCACTCAGCCCTCCCGCAGTGGACCTGGGTCCTGGACAATGGCTGGCAGGTAGGGGGACCTCCGGGGGTGCCGAGGAGACGCAGGCATGTGGCACATAGTTAGTTCTCTTTATAGACTCTGGGTGTAGGAACAGGTTGGCTGCGGGCCGGCCAGGGCCACCACGCGGCTGGGGCTGGGCTATTTACAGGCCCGCGGAGAGGGCTGTACCATGGTGCCGCCCGGCCGGCGCTCAGCCAGGACTCGGACGTGAGCGAGGGCTGGCCGGGCGGGCGGGGGCTGTACACATGAGTTTGGGGACGGGGCCACAATACTGTCGAGGGCGGGGGCTGTAAACATGGCCGGGGGGCCCTGCCCACCCCTAGTGGTCTGTCACGGGACGCAGAGCGGCTGCGCAGGGCCAGGCTCAGGCGTCCGACAGGCAGCTCTGGATCTGGTCCACCCACTGCTGGGCCGACAGCACGTCCTGGGCACAGAAGTTGTAAACACGGCGCGTCGTCTTCACCTGCGGAGGGCGGGCGGCTGACTCCACGGCCCCATCTGTGGAGCACCCCCCCATGCCCCCCACCCCCACCCCCACCCCCTGCCACAGCTCACATCAAAGAAGGCCTTCTCATCCACGGTCTTGGGGGCACCCATGGTGGGCGTGCCTGGCGCCACGGCCTCCACCTCCGCCAGGTCGATGATGCCCTTGTACTCCGTGTCCACGCGGTGGTCGTAGTAGCGCAGCTGAGGGGGACAGGATGTCAGGGCGGGGTCCCCCACCCCGTGCCCACCCCGTGCCCACGCCGTGCCCACTGCCCACTCACCTGGTGCTTGGTCTTGTCCAGCACGAACCAGCGAGCCTTCCAGGGTTTCATGAAGGCCCCCTTCTTGTAGAGGGTGCCCTCGTAGGACCTGCGTTTGCGGTGAAACCAGGGCAGGGCTGGCCATCGGGGCCCAGCAAGCCCAAACCACAGTCCCTGCCCTTCCCCCACGCAGACCCAGTCGGGCAGCAAGACCATGGGCCCTGCCCCCAAACTGACCCAAGCTGGGGCACTGGACGGGGCCCTGAAGAAGCCCTGGGGATGTACGCGGAAGGGGGGAGGAGGCCCCCCACCACCCTCGCTCAGCAGACACGTGATCCCACGTCAGAGCCTCAGGGTGTCAGAGCAGCAGCCCCCACGTGCGGCTCAGGTGCCGCGGACGAGGAGGAGCACACGGCAGGCAAGCTGAGGGAGGTGGCTGTGCAGCGCGGCCCCCAGGCCCCGAGGGTGGGGTGCAGTCTGCCGGGCCCTGGCCTCACCGAGAACCACCTCAGCCTCACCTGGCAGCTCACCTGCCCTCATGGCACCTGCAGCCCGTCCCCATTCTAGAGCCCCCGTGGCCTGGCTGCGGTCACTGGTTCTACGACCTGCCAAGCCCACCCGCCGCTCCCCAGCACCGTGAGCCTACGCCCGGGCCCCCTGAGAACCACCGGAAGCTCCCCCTCCATGGGCCCCGGCTCCCATCCAAGGGCCGCCCGCTCGGCAGCGCCCACGGCGCGGGGCAGCCCTCGCACCTGTTCTCACTCTCGGCGGTCTGGAACTGGCTGTACAGGGTGCTGGTGCTGCGGCGGGCGGCCTGGCGGGAGCCGGACGTGGTCGAGCCACTGCTCTGGTCGCTGTCCAGGCTGAGGCTCAGGGTGGAGCCCACGGGCCCCTCCTGCAGGTACACACCCAGCGAGCGGCGGTGGTGGGGCACACTGGACACCAGCAGGGAGCTGGGGGCGCCCTGGGGACCGGAGGCGGGCCTGCGTCAGCCGGGCGGCCCCTCCTGCGCCTGCCGCGAGCCCCCGCCCACCCCACACACACGCCCGCTCACCCGTCTGTCCAGCCGGCCTTCCAGGCGCTGCGCGGCCTTCACCCGGTCCCAGGTGTCCTTCCAGCGCTCGGGGGGCCGGCCCAGCTCCACCTCCAGCCGCTGCAGCTCCTGGCGGAGAGGCGGTGAACGTCACCCAGAAGGAAACACCCAGCCCGGGGCAGGAAAAGACGAACAGGAAGGAAACCTCGGAAAATGGAGGCTGCAAGGAGCGGTCCTACGCGGGCAGCTGAGAGCAGGAGAAGGCGGCGGGGAGGCGGAGCCCCAGGTTTGGGGACGACGGCCGCAGCAGCACCAGACTGACAAGGGGTGTCCCACGACCCAGCCGAGGGCACTGCAAACCCAGACCGCGCACCAGAGGAAAACGGCCGGAACGCACGAGAGAAACCCCCGAACCTACCAGGGAAAAGACGCGCTGTCTCCGAACACGGGACAACTTGAACACAGAGATGGCTGGACTTCCACCTCGGCCGTGACCCTGGGCAGTCCCCGGCTAGCCCGCCGTGAACAGCCGTGAACTGGGCAACAGGGTGGCACCGAGACCCCGAGGCAGGGTGACCCCAGGGCCACGGCCACGGTGTGGGGAGGCAGAGCCCAAGCAGAGCGCTGCGGGGTGGCCATGGGCACGCACCTGCGGGGCGGCGTCCGCGTGGAGGGACCCGCACGGCTCCAAAGATCCACCCACACGGAGGCCGCCCGAGCATCTGGCCCAATTGAAGGGTCACGTGCCCGGCGACGGCACCCGGCCTCGGCAGCTGCTGAGAAGCTGCAAGCGAGACCCACACTCTGGAGGGTCCGTGCCGCAGGGAAGTGAGGGGTGCCGGGCCGGGCCTGTGGGGGGGGCCCCTGGAGCCGAGGGGGCGGTGCCCCTGCAGCTGCGCTAACGAAGCTGAGACGCGCCCCCTGAGAAGACCCAGCCAACACGCGAGTCTGTTGACAGCCCACAAGACCGAGGCTTGAGACTCCCCAGAGGAGGACAGCACAACCCTGACGCTCAGCAAGGCAGAGGCCACAACGTCCAGCTCGTAGAAGAAACATTAGACAAGCAAAAAGGAAGATTAGATCCATGCTTAGGGGAAAAGTTCAAAGAAACAGACCCGGAAGTGAAATTGTAATTACCGTACAAGAAATGGAAAAGCTGCAAATGTAAGTTTAAGGTTTTAAGAAAAAGATGGACACAATGGTTGAACAGGTAGGGACTCTCCACAGTCCATAACTATTAAAGAATCCAGTGGAAATCCTAGAGCTGAAAAAGAAATACTTAAAATGAGAAATCCATCAGATAGACTTGACCAGGACCATGACCGTGACCATAAGAAACAGAAGCCAACCTGACGACAAGCTAACGGAAACCATCCCGAGTGAACTGCAGACAGGAGGGAGAAAATGGCCGGGGTGGCCCATGGGACAGGGAAGGCCCAGGGGACGTGGGGAGAGATTGTGCAGAGAAAAAACTTCTAAAAGAAGTAACAGCCTGAAGTGGAAAACTGTCACCCCTAGATTAAAGAGACGTGCAGAGCTCTAAGCAGGAGGAACACAGAGGAAAGCCAGGTGGGGGTCAAACCGGCGCAACCAGGGGTGAAGAGAAGCCCTTGACCTTGACCTTGACGACAGCGAGAGGAACCGGGCGGCGCCCGTGCTGCTTGCAGGCGGCAGAGTGAGCACCGACTTTCCAGCAGAAACCCTCAGAGCCCGACGAGAGCCGTCCAGCGGCAATCCGACACCTCAGGAAAGCGCCTTCGGTAAGAGAAGGCGCAACGCAGGCGCCCTCGGGGGCGCACGCAGCAGCGAGGAAAGGCCCCGCAGCCCTGCACCTGCGGACGCGCGGAGGGCGGCGGCCCGAGGTCCGAGCCGCGCCGAGGGCGGGACGGCCACTGGGAACGGCGAAGGGAGAAGGCTGCCGCCGGCTCCCTCGTCTGGTTAAAATCCAGGGCCCACGTGTGTTTACACCACAGGTGGACGTGAACCGCGACAGCGTGACAGACAGACAGACGAGGACGCGTGGGGAGACGCCACCTGGCAGGCGGCGCAGGAAACTCGGGGCAGACGGAGCCCCTTCGGCCATCCTCCCCCCCCAAGGGGCGGAGTCCCAGGCCCGACCCCCGGCGGATGCCGGAGGCTGCGAGCCGCACTGAGCGCCGTGCCGTCGCGCTCCGTCTCCTCCTCGGGCGCGTGCGCGCCGGGACGAAGTTCGGTTTACACGCTGGGCGCAGGCGGGGCTGCCGACGGCCACTCGTGAGGAGACGCGCTGCGCTGCGGCGGGAGTCCCGCGCACGGCTCCGGCCCTCCTCCCGCGCCGGGGGGCGGCCGCACGAGCTCTGGGCCGCCGCGATGGGCAGCCCGATCGATCGCCAAGACGACGATGAACCGGCCCTCAGACGCCGGCCCCGACGCTGGGCCAGGGAGGGTTGGTTCACGGCCCAGCTGGGCGGGGCGGGGCGGGATTCCATCACACGACTCGGAAGGACGCACAACTTAAGACTTGAGAGGTACTGGGGCCTCTTTCACTTAATGTTTCTGGACCCTGGTCGAGCCCGGGTAGCTGGGACCGTGGACGACGGTGAGGGGAGACGCCTGTGGTCTCTCACAGCCACTAGGAGCCACGCAAGGAGGCCCAGCCCCAAAGCCCAGCGGAGCAGGTAGCAGGGAACGCGAAAACATTCTCGACTGCCAGGGGAAAAGAAAGGAGCAAAAAGCAAATAAGTAGAACACAAACAAGCTACAAGACTTCCACCAAACCGCGATACCCAGTGAGTGCGGAGAGACGGGACCGTCAGAACAGGTGAGGCGGAGACCCGCCCACACCCCGAGCACGAGGAACTCAGCTTCAGGGCGGAGGCAGACGGTCGGAGCCCGGGCGGAGACGTGCCCCACGGGGGTCGGCCACACGGGCGTCGGCGGCGCGGTTCACCCCGACCCCGAGTCTGCGAGTGCCGCCCGAGTCTCTGCCGGGGGCCTGGGGGCCGCCTTCGTCGCTGCACTGTGACCCTGCGCTCCCCAGGCCCCCAGGGCCAGTGCCTTCAGGCCAGGACCCAGGAGCCAGCACCGCTCCCCTCCCCGACGAGGGAACAGAAGCGCCGAGGGGCTCCGACGCCCCCCACAGCCGCAGGGCCCACGGCGGGCAGCGCAGCCTTCCCGTGGCCGCCGACCGCTCAGCCGCCGCAGAGGGTCCGGGCTGCTGCCACCCAGTCCCACTGCAGCCTCCCCCCGGCTCACAGGGCGCCTTCCCGGGGTGCCCGCCCCTATGGGTCCTCGCTCCTGAGGCAGAGGAGACAGGACGTCCGAGGAGGGCAGAGGCCCGGAGTCCACCCCAGGCCTCCAGGCCCACAGGCTCGGTTCCCTCTGAAGGGGACCCGAGGCAGGCAGGCAGGAAGAGCCGCTGCTCACGGCACGGGGCCGGAGCCACCGTGGACCTGAGAAAGCCGTCTCCCTGCAGGGCTGACCTCACAGGTGGCCGGGGGAGCACACCTGCCCGGAGCACCCGGCAGGTCACGAAAGCAGCCCCGGGGAGCCTTGGCCACCGCAGGCCGGCGGGCAGTTTGCAGGTGGGTGCCGCGCAGGGCCACCGGACCGCCAGGCGCATGCACAAACACGGGCTCGCACAGCGGCCGAGGGCCACACGCACCTCCAGCAGACGGGAGATGGCGTCGGGCTGGGCGCGGGGGCGGCTGTCGTAGCAGGGCCACACCACACGGCGCCTGCTCTGGGGGGCGCCCCCGTCCGGCCGCTCCTCCTCCAGGGGCTCTGGCGGCCCCTGGGCCAGCTCCCAGTCGTAGGGGGGGCCCTCGGACAGCGCCTCCTCCGTGTAGAAGTCCCACACCCTCAGGTTGGACACGTTGCTGTAGGGCCGCAGGACCTGGGGGCGGGCGGGGGTGGCGTGAGTGCCGGGGCTGGGGAGGGCCCGCCGGCCCGCCCCGGCCCCGCCCCGCTCACCTCCGAGTCCTCAGGTGCGTACATGTAGTTGTAGAACGCCGGCGTCCGCTTGCTCAGCCGGTCCACGTACTCCCACACGGACCTGCAGGGCTGCGGGCCCCTGCGCTCCCCCTTCTCCTCATACAGCAGCCCTGCAGGGGGCAGCGGTGAGCCCCGCCAGCCAGCCTGCGCCCGCCTGTCCCCCCTGCCACCTGCACCCTACCCAGCTCGATGCGCTCGTAATCCGAGTCCAGCAGGAAGGTCCGGAAGCGGCGGGACACGTGGTGGTAGCCGAGAAACTTGAGGTAGAAGGGGCTGAACTCGAACTCCATGGGGAACTGCAGATGGACCTGTGTGGGGTCAGGGGTCAGGAGCCCGCCTGTCTGAGCAGGCCCTGGGGCTTGTCCCCCCACCACACCGCCCGCTCACCTGGTGCACACAGTCCAGGAACTGCAGGAACACGGGCGTGAAGCCACTGCTCTGCCCGGCCAGCGTGTGGGCCCCGCGGTGGCTGAAGCGGTGGCCGAAGGACAGCCACTCCTTCTCGACCAGCAGGCGGAAGCCATCCAGGGTGCGGTAGAAGGGGTCTGAGAGCAGCTGCACCAGGGACACCACCTGCAGGCACCACCGGCTCTCAGGGGGGCTCCCGGGGCACGCCGGCCCACCCGGCCCAGGGTCCGCCAGCCCGGGGTCCGCCGCGCACCTGGGTGGTGATGTCCCAGCCATCCTCCAGGCTCACCAGGACGGAGGAGCCCGAGTCCAGGAGCTCCACCACCAGCACCGACACCTGCAGCAGCTTGTGTATCTGCAGGACCGACCGGCAGCCCTCAGGCCCCGGCCCCGACCAGTCCCCCGCCCGCACGTCCCCAGGAGTGGCGGGCACGCGGGGACAGCTGGCGAGGGGTGCCGCGCCAGTGGGCGGGCTCCGCTCTGCACACTGACCGCCGCTGCCTCCCCCTCCGGAGCCCCTGGACTGCAGGGCCCCCTGTCCAGGCGATGCTCAGCCACCTCCCAATGACAGCAGTGGCCCGACCCAGGTGGGGAGTGGCCACCCCCCCGCCCAGGGCCCCGAGGGTCCTGTGGAAAGTGCGCCCAGGCCCCGTCTGCCCGACCGCAGCAACAGGCGGGAGGAGGCCTCACACCCACCCCGCATGGCCCTCGGCTGTGGTGGGGGCAGGGGCGGGGCAGAGACCTGGGTCAGCCACTCGGAGTCCTCCAGCGAGCGCAGGAAGGAGGCCGGGCTGGGCTCGGTGGCGGGACAGCCTGGGACACACGCCTTCAGCAGCTTCTTGAAGCTGGTCTTCACCTGCCGCACCTCGAACACCTCGATGGGCACCAGCTCCCACTGCTGCAGGGGGTCCGGCCGCACTCCCTGGGGGAGGCCTGACGGTGAGCTGCGTGCGGCCCAGGCGCCCGCCCGGCCCCGGGCCCCTCCCCCCCAGTCACCTTGAGCTGGGCCTTGTCCCCGATGATGTAGAGGGCTGCACGCTGGGGCCGCAGAAAGCCTGGGTCGGGGGGAGCCCCGTTGGCCTGGGGGGGTGCCAGCGTGTCCCTGCCTGCTAGCCGAGAGCCCACGTCACCGCTGAGCCCACCGCTGCGCCCGCTGGCACGGACACTGCCCCATTTACCTGCACAGAGACCACAGGTGAGCAGGCGAGCTAGGCCTGGGCACCACTTACCTGGGGGGGCGGGGCCTGTGCCTGCATTCGTGTTGGGGGGGCAGGACTCAGTGCCGGGGAGTTAGTGCCCAGGGCGGTGGGGGGCCGTTAGTGCAGGCATGGGGGGGCGTTAGTGCCCACGACGACTCAGTCACACGGGGGCGTCTGTGCCAGGTGTGGGGGGGCCAGCCCGCCGGCCGGTACAATACCTCGGGGAGCGGTCCGTCTGGAGGCCGAGGCCGCCATGGGGTTGGACAGCGTGGTGACCCTGGCTCGGGGGCTGGGCACTGGAGGCACAGCAGAGAGGAGGCTCAGGCCTGGCCCAGGCTCACGTCCGTGCCCAGCATGGGGGGTTCTGTGGCCCAAAGGGCCAGGTGCAGGGCTGCGTTCCCCCCCAAGCCCCAGGGGGCCCCGTGGACGGCAGGGGTCAGCACCAAGGCCCTCTGGGCCCCTGGGGGTCTGGCCAGAAAGTGGAGGGCTGGGGGTGGGTAGAAGGGGTCAAAGGAGGCAGAAGCCCTGGACTTCCCTGCAAATACCTCCTCTGTGACCCGTGCCTGGGCCCGCAGACTCCGCGGCCCCACGCGGCCTCGACCCGGGTAGAGCGGCAGGGGAGGCCCGGAGCCTGGGAGCTCCCAGCAAGCAGACCGGGGAGGGGTGCAGTCGAGGACACAGGCCAGCACCGCACCAGCCCCTCTAGGCAGGAGGCACAGCCACCCTCAGCAAGGACACGGCATGTCCCTGTGACACGGGCAGAGCCTGGGCTGGGACCCACGTGCTCCTGAGCTTTGGGGGACGGCGGGAGGTGGCAGGAGGGGCGGGGACAGAAGGCCCTGCGGGGTGGCAGCACTCAAGACCTCTGGCGGGACGGACGGAGCGAGACAGCAGGACCACGGGTCCCACTGGAAGGGGGCTCTGCCGTCTGGAAAACCGAAGCCATTGAACCAGAGACGCTCCTGGTGGGGGAACACGGGGGAGCTTGGTCTGCGCCCCCAGAGGGGAGCCATTGGCCAGCCGGCCCAGCTTGTGCCCGTGGGGGCCCTCGGCCCAGGGTGAGGCGGACGGAGCGTGGAGCCCCAGGAAGAGGCTGCGACCGCAGCGTGGACGCCATGGGGCAGGCGGGGGGTGTGCGGGACCCTCAGGGCTCCCTGGGAGGACGAGGCCCCCGTGGACTCTAGAGCCCCTCCGCCACAGGAAGGGGCGTGGGGCCCGGGCCGGGCCGGGGGTGCTGGCGGCAGGAGGCCCACAGACTCAGGACCCAGGGCGGGCAGCAGGAAGACTCGGGACCTCGCCCGGGCTCCTGGAGGGCTGGGCCCGGGGTGAAGGCGGCGGCGCCCGGGCGGAGCCACAGCGGCCAGCCAGCTGCAGGGGTGGACCTGCCAGCACCCGCCTGCCTCGCCTCCCCAGCAGGTTCCTGCCTGTTGCCAGACCTGACCACCCTCCACAGGCCCACCCCCTCTGTGGACAGCAGCGAGTGCCCTCGAATCGCCCGGCACCCGGGGTCCCTGTGGCAAGGTGGGTACGTGGACGGGCCCTGGGCCCCCGCCCTGACCTCCAGGCCCTGGAGCCTTCCCTGCAGACGGGACGACAGGACCCCGTGCAGCACGGAGGGCCGTCGGGAGGGGTGCAGGCCCACGGGCAGGGCCGGGTGGGGTGTGGGCAGACGCAAGGAGAAGGGTGGGCACAGCCCCACCGGGGACAGTGGGTCCAGCGGGCATGAAGGGGCCCGTGGCGAGGACAGAGAAACCAGTCTAGACATGGCTTAAGGGGCCTGGTCAGGCAAGGAGGTCAGATGGGCCGGTCAGGCGGGGCCTGAGAGGAAGGGTGAGGAGGGCCGTACCCCCCCAGGAAGATGGGGAGGTCGAGGAGCTCGGTGGGTCGGGGAGGAGTGGTCAGGGCAGGGGCTCCGGGAACTTACCTGGTCCCGTGCTAGGCCCTCTGCTCGTCTTACACCCCAGACGTTGTGCCCCCTCACCAGCCTGCCCTCCACAAATGTCACCACGACCCCCAGAGCCCTCCTGCCCTGGAGCACCCCTCACCGTGGCCGCCCAGGTGGGCCGAGGAGAAGCCGCTGAGGGTGTTGCGGCCCGACATGTCGGCGTAGCGGGGCATGGAGCTGACCACGGCCTGCAGGTACTTCTCCTGCTCCAGGCTGCTGGAGTCCGCCTGGGACTGGCCTGGGGGAGGCAGAGCTGCAGTGGGCAGGGGCATGGGCGCGGGTGCGGGGCACGCAGGGGGACGGGGCCAGGTACCTGGAGAAGGCGCATTCTGGGCCTTGAAGAGGCCGACGACCCCCTTGCCATGCAGGCCTCCCGAGCGCAGCAGCACGGCCTTCGAGCGCCCGCTGCGCCAGCAGACCACGGGGAAGCGGTTCTGGCGGTAGCAGCGGGAGACGCGCTGCAGGGCGTTGTCCTGGACGCTCTGGGGCACGATCAGCAGCCCCGGGTAGCTGCCGGGAGGGGACGTGAGGTGAGGGGGCTCGCGGGGGGTGGGCCGGAGGTCCTCTCCCACACCCGCAGGCCAAGGGCACCCCCAGCGCCGTGACCAGAGGCCTCGGGGAGGGCGGCGGCGGCCCTGCGCCAGCACTCACCTGCGGCAGATGGCGTACATGCGGTTGACCGGAGAGACGCGGAAGGGCTCTGACTTGGCGCGGCTCAGGCTGCTGCTCAGCGTGCCCAGGCCCAGGCGCTGGTAGTCCCGGCAGCACGCCCGCTCCACCAGGCTGCTCATGGTCATGCGGTCAGAGGGCTTCAGGGCGGAAGTCGGGGTCAGCGTGCTGGGCTCCAGCTCCTCCGACACTGGGCAGGGCAGGCACAGGGGTGTCACTCACTCTCGGGGGTGCCAGGCCCCGCCCTGCCAGGCCGCCCGGCCCCGCCCAACAAGCCCCGCCCGGTCCCAGGCCCCGCCCCCCACAAAAGGGTCTTCAGGAGACCACGAAGGCCGCCGGTCCCCCACCTGAGATCTCATCCTCCTGGTCCTCGGGGGGCGGCTGACCCCGGTGCTCCCAGCTGGGGGGGTTGTACTTCTTCCGAGTGACGTACTGCCGCCCAATGGTCTTCTTGGCGTTCTTCACGAGGTTCCGGGACAGGGTCCTGGGCGCACAGGGTCCGAGTGAGGACGGGCTCGGGGATGCCTGCGCACACAGTGCTGCTAGGAGGGGTGGGGTCCCCGGCCCGGGGCCCGCCCCGCACCTGAGGGAGGGCGCCTTGTCCTTGGTAGCCCGCGGAGGCCGGCCGGGGGTGTGCGCAGAGCCCAGCGTGAAGGCGAAGGTGCCCCTGATGTCCGGCGGGAACCGCAGCCGGTGCAGCTGCTTGCGGAAGAGCTCGGCGCTGTCGGACCCCACCTCCTCGTCGAAGGCCATCCGCAGCAGCTGCATCAGACACGCGGCCTCAGAGGGCGGGCGGCCGAGCGGCCTTTCCAATGAGGACCTGTGCCCTAGGGACCCCGGGGCAGGGCAGGCCCACTGCATGGCCGGGAAGGGCAGCCCCGCCTCTCGTGACATGGCAGACACACCGGGACCTGAGGGCTGCGCCCACCAGACTGGCCTGCAGCCGAGGAACACGGGCCTTTGCCGTGTTTCCTCTGCTGCGTGAATCCCAGCTGTGCCGCACACTCCCGACCTGGCTCCAGGCTCCGGGCAGAGCCCCGCAGGGGAGACAGGCGCTCCCGTGGCCGCCCCCCCCACCCCCCGGCCCACCCAGCCCCCCCCGCCGGCCCACCTGGAATGTGCAGGAGCGCAGCTGCAGCCCGTCCTGCAGGAGCTGGTCCACGGGGGTCTGCACGCTGATGCGCTTCTCCTTGGTCAGCGCAGCCACCGGGAAGGAGCGGACCACCACCTGCTCCCCCACTGAGGACAGGCCGGGCACAGAGTCAGGGAGACGAGAGGGGACAGTCCCAGCCTCAGGGTCCCAGAGCTCAGGGTCCCAGAGCTCAGGGGCCCGGGCGGGTGGCGAGAGTCAGGGACCTATGCCCCACAGAGACCCCGCAGCCCGAGGGGGAGGAGAGGCAGGGAGAGTCCCGCTCTCCCCAGACTACCTGGCGTGGGGCCGGGGCGGAGCGGCGTCCGGGGCTCGCTTACCCAGGGGGTCGGTGGGCATCCCCGTGAAGATGACCCGGTAGGTGGTGAGAAAGACAGCCCCCTCTGCTGGCAGCAGCGCGGGGCCGCCCCCGCTGCCGCCCGAGCCCTCCTCGCGCCCGTCGGGCAGCAGGTAGACGCGCAGGCCGTCCAGCATACACTCCTCGCCGGGCAGCAGGCGTGGCCGCAGCAGTTTCGGCTGCGCAGACACAGGAGCGGCGCTCAGGATGCAGCCCGGCCCCCGCCCCGCCGCCCCGCCGCCCCTCCGGGCCCCCACGCACCTTCTGGATGGGGGGCAGCCTCTTGCTCTCCCGGTGCACGGCCTCCAGGGTCTCGATGTGCATCTGGACGATGTCTGGGAGACAGCAGTCCTCACCCTGGGGCCCCGCCCCCACCACCCCAGGGAGCGTCTCCACACCCAGACCCCGTGTACCTGGCACCATGACATGCAGCCCCTTGAGGTGCTCGCTGGTGACCCCACTCTCTGTGCAGACCTTGTCCACGAAGCGGTTGATGAAGCGGACAACAGCCCCGGCCACGTCACAGGTCTCTGCGTCCTCAAAGCCGCTTTCGGTGTCGTAGCTCTCTGCCACGCTGCCTGCCATGCTGGGCCGGGAGGGCACCGTGGACAGTGGGCACAGGCCCCGCCCACCCGAGCCCCCGCCCTCCCGGCCCTGGGAGTCCCGCCCACCTGCTGGTGACCAGGCTGTTGCTGGCGCTCTCGGGGTCACCCAGCCCCGCGCGCTCGCGCAGCAGGCGGCTCTTGCTGGAGTCCAAGGGCAGCAGCAGGTAGCTCATGCGGTTGGCGTAGTGGATGGCCTGGCTGAACACCGTGCTCTCCTCTTTCTGCACCAGCTCCTGCTGCTTTTCCCGGCTCAGCGTCGGCCACAGACGCCTCTGCTCGGACGCCACATCCAGGGCGGAGCGCTCGTCCTCTGCCGGTGCCTCCGCAACCTGCCGATACGCTGGGGGTGAGCCAGCGACAGGCCCGCCCCCACCCCTGGGGCCCTCGGGTCCCCACACACCTGGGAGGGGCCCCAGTCCTCGGCCGGCTCCAGGTAGAGGGCCCGGATGTGGGCCTGCACGTCCCCGTAGAACATGGACTCCCAGAACTGCGGGGTGCTCCACACCACGTGCTCCTGCACGCAGCTGTACGCGAACTGCGTCACCCCCGGGCTCAGCTTCTGCAGGGGCAGGCGGCTGTCAGTGGGGGCGCGGAGCGGGGCGGGCACCCCCGGGGCCACCCAGGACTCACCCGGCAGAAGGCTGTGACCAGGGGCAGCAGTGCGGCGGCGATGCCGTGCTCGTCCAGGGAGGTGCAGTCCTGCGGGCACCGGGCGCTATCAGGACTGCCCTCCCCCAGTTCCAGAACCTTCCCCAAGGCTGCCCAGGGCTCTTCAGAGGACCCGGGCAGGGCACCCCAGCGCCTGCCCCAACAAGGGTTCTGCCCAATGGACCCCCGCCCACCAGGGCTGCCCCCGCCCACTGGCGCTGCCGGAAGCGCTACGGGCCCGCCCACTGGCGCTGCCCCCGCCCACCGGCGCTGCCAGACGCACTGCGGGCCCCGCTTGCCGCCTCACCTGCAGGCAGCAGTTCATCATGCGGACGACGAAGTCAAACTGCTGGTGGTCCAGCACGGCCCGGTTCTGCTGCACGTGCAGGTGCAGCTCCTGGACCAGGCAGCGGCGGGCGGCGCGCCCCTTCAGGGCCCGCAGCACAGCTGGGAGCAGCTGGAATGGGGCACAGAGATATATGGGGGCCGCCCTGGCAGAGTCCCGGAGAGGGAGCAGGGCGCGCCCGGGGCTGGAGCCCGGGCTCCGAGCACAGGACACCCGGAGGCGTCCAGGCCAGGTGTGCCCGGACGCTTGAGGGCCCCTCGCACAAGAGCACTCCCGGTGGGGACGGGGGTGGGGGTGGCGGGGGGATGGGACGGGTGGAGGACAGGTCGACCGCGGGTGCACGGCCAGTATGTGGACGGCTCTGCTGGGAGGCCCCGCAGCCCGAGCACCAGCGTTCCCGAGTCCAGCCCGGGCCTCAGCGTCCAAGCACAAGCCTGCTGTTTGAGGCCCGACAACTGGGGACCCGCGGCCCCGAGGAAGGGGCTGGCGAACAGCTGTGGGACGCGAGGGAGGCTCCGACCGCCTGCCGGTCCGCGGACACCACAGAGGGCAGGGCAGCAGGTGGTTCCCTTTCCCATCTTTTCTTTAAAAAATGACAAGTGTGGCCGGCACTCTCTTCACAAGAGGTGAACAGCAGGAACCTTTACGGGGGGCGCGAGGGCGGGCAGGAAGGGTCGAGGAGCCGAATGTGAGTGGGCGGGGGCGGCGGGCACACAGTGCGACCCACACGCAGGCCACGTGTCACAGACACGCACGCTCCAGCCCGACGTGGCCGTCGGCCGACGCCACCCCGACGAGCTCCGCCCGGAAGGACGCCCCCGCCGGGCCTGACGTCTGCACGCTGACAGGCCTAGACGCCGCCCCCGCAGGCGAGGGAGGGGCCGAGAGCTCGCACCTTCTTGGCCTCGAGCATCTTCCCCTCGAACACGTAGGAGATGCAGTTCCGAACCACCTCCAGCCGGCGAGCACTGTTGCCGTGGAGCCCACTGCTCCGCTCCAGGATGGCGGCTGGGGGCAGAGAACACACTCACCTCTGACCTCTCCCCCACCCCGGGCCGCACTCAGGACCCCTGCCCCGTCACGTACTCATGGGGGGGCCCGAGGGCACGGTGGTCCTCCTCTCGGCCTTCACAGCCGGGGGTGCGCCCTGCATCTTGGCCGTGGCCTGGTCCACGATCCACTGCACCACACCCTCGTCCAGCCGGGGGAAGGGCCGGGGCGCCCGCCGCAGGTGGCTGGCCTCGCCCGGCCTCTGCACCTTGTGCATGGCCACGGCGGGGTATGGGTTCTCCTGGGGGGACACCGGCAGGTGGGTGAGCAGCCCAGGGCCAGGGCGGCACCACGACCTCCCTGGCCCAGCCCGACCCCGGGCCACCGCCGTACGTTCTTGTAGAGCTGTTCCGCCAGCTCCTTGACGTGACGCAGGACTCGCTGGGGGTGGCTCTCGTCCGCCCGCATCCGCGCCACCTCGTGGGCCACCAGCTGGGGGAGCAGGCGGGGTCAGCCACTGGCCAGGACGGGGGGGGGGGCTCCCCCCAGCCGGGCCCGGGCACACCTCATCGAACAGGTCCGTCGGGCGGTAGGGGACCCCGCGCTCCGACACGAAGCCGGCGAAGGCCATGCCCTCCAGCACCTTCATCAGGAAGTCGTCCTCCACCAGCCCGCGCTGGCCCAGGAAGGCTGCCTGGGGGGCACGGGGCGGTCAGCCCCTGGGCCCCGGCCCTCCCCCTCCCCCACCGCCCCAGCCCCGCGCCCACCTTGTGAAAGCGGATGACGGGCTCTGGGTGGATGCGGACCATGTGCAGACACCAGCGGTAGCCCTGCAGGAGCTGAGCGAAGAGCCGCAGGAAGACGGCACGCAGCTCCTTGTCCTGGGCCCCGGGGGTGCCGGTGAGGGCCGGGGTGAGCGCAGGCAGCCCTCACCGTCCACACACCCCAGGCTCCGCCCCGAGCCCACACCCTGTGCCGGCCCTGCCCAGGCCTCCCCAGGCCCCTCCGCCCCTCCTCTCCCTCCAGCCTCCCTCCCCACGGAGCCCAGGGACGCCCCCGAGACAGTGCGGGTGCCATGCCTGCGCAGGACACTCAGGGCGCAACGTCCCACGACCCTGGGAACACCGGTCGTCTGCAGCAGCAGACGGCACAGGGGGGCATGGGGGCCACAGGGGCCAGGACCCTGCGGGAGCCGCAGTGACCCCCACCTGCATCTTCAGGGAGGAGGGGGACGCTGCGGGGGGCGGGAAGGCGAGGTCGGCCAGCTCCAGCTCTGGGTCCAGGACCTGCGGCAGCAGGGAGGGCGTGGTCGGCGGCAGGGAGGGCGTGGCCGGCGGCAGCACCGCCCTGGGCTCTGCCCCGCCCCCCTGCCCCGGCCCCCCAAGGCCCGGCCCTGCCTCACCATGCTCAGGACACTGTGTGTCTGGCTCTGCAGCGGCTCTGGCAGCGGGGGGACGCTCACACACTCGGGAACAGTCACTGTCCCTCCGTCCAGGTCAGCCACAATCACATCCAGCTGTGGGCCGAGGGCAGCGTGGGGTCAGGGACCCACAGGCCGGTCAGCACGGCCCGGGCCCCAGGCGGACACAAAGACCCTCACCAGCTCCTGGGTCTCTGCCTGGAAGGCCGCATTGACGCCGATGATGAAGGGCGTGGGCGTGCTGAGGACCTCCAGCAGCTGGGCCGGCAGGATGGGCACGTAGGTGAAGCTGCGACAGGCCAGGGCTCAGCGCGGCAGGAGCCACGGGGAGGGGACAGGCGGAGGGACGGGGTGGGGGCGGGGGCAGGGGCAGGCACCTGTATCGGAGAGGGAACAGCAGCGCCAGGAGGCCACGGCAGGCGTCGGCGAGGCGCTGGTAGCTGCGGGACAGGAAGAGCACCTTGTGCTCCGTGAGGGCGGCGCAGAACAGAGACAGCACGTTGCTGATGCCTGGGTGGGGGGAGGACAGGCTTGCAGGCCCTGCCTCTGGCCGCGGGGGGGGGGAGGAACGGGGGGGCAGGGCGAGACGCCAGGCTCACCTAGCTGGCGGAAGAGCAGGGCCACGCTGCAGCGGCTGACGGGCAGTGACTCCGTGAGCGGGGTCTGGATGACCTGCCGGTCACCGGCCCCCAGAGAGATGGTTCTCTGTGGGAGACAGAGACCACAGCTCAGTGACTCTGACCAGACCCCCAGCAGCCCAGAGCCCCGCAGCCCCAGCAGGCCTGGTGGACCGACAGGGCCCGAGGCGGGACTGGCCGGAGGGCGAGGCCACGCCGGCCTCTGCGGCCTGCGCCGAGCTGCAGAGAGAGCGCCGGGCCTCTGACCTGGGGCGGGGTGGGCCGGGGTGGGCAGAAGAAACAAAGAGTCCGTACCACTCCGTCCTCAACAGAGTCCAGCTGCACAGGACAGACGGGCAGAGAGACACAGTTAGACACACGGACCAGAGGGGCGCAGACAGGGAGGCCGACACCCAGGACCGGAGACAGTGCGCCCGGCAGCGAGAGGACAGAGACAGCAGAGGGCCCGGCGGAGCCAGGCGAGACGCAGCACACACAGGGGCGGGCGGGCAGGGCCCAGGAGGTGACAGCTGACAGTGGCACCAAGACACACGCGTGTGCAGCGCGTGGGCCGTGCTTGGCCCAGGCTGGACTTGGGGAGCCTACCAGACCCACCCCCACAGCCAGCGGCTGCCCCCAAGCCCCACCTGTGAGCCCCCCGCCAGGGGGATAACGCAGGTGAGCAGGTTCCCGACCACGCTCTCCAGGCCCACGTTGAGGCCCTCCACGTGGATGGTGTAGATGAGCCCCAGGCTGTTCTGCAAGGACCGAGGGCGGGCATGGCAGCGGCTGGCGGGAGGCCCCCGCCCCGCCCCCGCCCCGCCCCCGCCCCGCCTCACCCCACCTCACCCCGCCTCACCCCGAGCCTCACCCTGAACACGTCCGCGTGGTCCAGCCGCGACACCAGCACCAGGGTCTTGGGAGCGAACAGCGGGCCCGGCGGGCCGGACGCCGCGGGTGAGAGGCGCCCGGAGCCTCCCTCGTCCGCCTCCTCGTCCCGCCCCGCGGCGTCCTCGGCGCCCGCAGCCGCCTGCGCAAAGAAGCCCGTTCGCCCCATTCGCTCGGCTGGCAGGCAGGTCCCGGGGGCCCGCGGGCACTCTGGGCTCCGCGGGGCCAGGCACCAGGACCGGCCGCAGCCGAGGGGACCCGCCCGGGGCCGGCCGCGCGGGGCGGTGCTGACCTGCGCGGGCTCCGCCGGCTCCCAGAAGGTCAGGCAGGCGCAGTAGTGCCGCTCCGAGTTGATGTCGGTGAGGACGGCGACGAAGAAGGTCGGCGGGTTCCTCTCAGGACACAGCTGCCACCCGCTGGGCTGGCAGAACTGGGGGGGCCGCAGGAGTCAGGGGTCCGCCCCCTCTGCACCCTGCGTGCAGCACGCGCACCGCCCAGGCCTGGGCGCCAGGTGCCAGCACGCAGGCAGCCCTCCCCCTCCGCCCCCCGGGCGCACCCTGCCTCCCCAGGCCGGCCCACCCCCCACCCCCCACGGCAGGGAGCACGCCTGGGTGGGTGCAGACCCTGTGGCGCAGGCCTCGGTCCCGTCGTGAGGAGGGAGCGGTGACCGGACGGGGCCCCCAGTCCTTCGCCAGCCAGGCGGCGCCCCTGCTCCCTGGCCCCGAGGGGCTCCTTGCAAGCAGTCCTGCAGGGCACAGGCGGGGCTCTGGCCTGGCCCCCCACAGCCCAGGCCCGCTCCCCACTCACCAGCTCGATGCCCTGGGGGAAGGGGTTGTCCTCCCAGTCCTTCTCGGGGAAGCGCTGCAGGATCTGGCCCTGGCCTTCCCCGCTCCCTGAGGACAGGGGCAGGTGGTCAGGGGCCCCGCCGCTCCCCACAGCCCGCTCCCAGCCCGCTCAGACGGGAGCCCGGAGGGTCTCAGAGGACGTCCCCTACACCTGCCCTAACCCGCACCAGACCAGCCTCAGCTCCCGAAAACCGGTCCTGTGAGAGGCCACTAGGCAGCCACAGACCCCAGGGCCCCCAGAGGGCACAGAGAGAAGCCAGGCTGTGGGACTGGGGCCCTTGCTGCTCCTGCTCCCACTCCCAGGCCTGCCCCCCACGCTGACACCCCCAGCCCGACCCCACCCCTCCGACGGAACAGAACTTCCAGACTGCTCCGCAGCCAGCCCCCGGCTTAGGCACTAGGCCTCTCGACAGCCCGGCCTGATGGGCGGTCAGCACCAGGCCCGTGGGTGCCCGGCCCCACTCCCCAGCCGGGCCGAGCCTGAGAGGTGCGGGGTCTCGCACACAGCCGGGCACGCGGCCCCGCCGCCTCAGCGACAGGACGCCCACTGAAGGCGCGCCTGCGGGGCACTGGGCCCAGCAGCTCCGGGAAGCGCCGGGGTGGGGAGCGTGCAGGCCACTGCGGCCACAGACCAGGGCCAGGGAGGAGCCGGGCGGGAGGCCCCTGTCCCTGCTCATGCCCCTGGGCACACGGCCTCCCCAGCCAGCTCGTTCCCCGTGTGGTCCCCAGAGACCCCCCAGTCCCTGGAACCCCGGGGCACACTAAGCCCCATCTCGTCTGTGTCCCCCACCCCCTGCCCAGGGCGCTCCACTCCCAGGAAAGGCCACCCCCGCTGGGCCTCCCACAGCAGGCCCCGGCCTGCGGCTCACCCCCCAGGGCCAAACCAGGAGGCCGGAGCGGGTGCGATGGGGAACCGCTCGCCTCTCGGGGCCCTTGGAGAACGGACGGTGGTCTGTGCTTCTCTCCCCGCCCCCCGCCGCCCCTCGCTGCCCCCCAGCAGAGCTGCCCCCCAGCAGAGCGGCGGCACAGTGAACTCCACCTTCCCCTCCCGCGGGCCCCTCCCTCTGCTGGGCCGCTCCAACAGGGCCCCGCCCAGGCAGCAGAGAGCTGGGCCCAGCGCGGGCGGACAGGTGAGGGGAGGGTGCGTGGCAGAAAGAGCACCTCCAGGAGGCAACACCAAGGTTAGGGTTAGGGTTAGGGCGGCAGGCAGGTCCCCGCCTGGCTGGAGGTGGCGGGAGACGGGTGAGGGGCCGTGACTCACAAACCTCAGCTTCCTGCTCCCCTGCCCCTCCCCCCACCGACACCCTGAGATGAGGCGGCAGACGAGGAGAAGTGGGCGAGAGGGACAGGTGTCTGCTAGCGCCACACCTACCTACACACCTGCCCACAGCCCCCAAGACAAAGCCCTGGGGGGTCCCTCCAGGCCCACCCCCAAGGACCATGCTTGGCCCCACCAGGCTGGCCCCGCCCCCGTCCGTCCCCCCCCCCCAGGGCGGGGCGGGGCCCCCCCTGACTCGCGTAGGGCCCCAAACCACCGGCTGGGCCCAGGTCTGGCCGGCACCCAGGGCTCCCCCAGCTCTTGCCACGAGGCAGCAGGCAGAGGCAGGAAGAGCAGTGCCCGGACGGGCCGGCTGCTTCTGAACCGTGGGCCTGGCCCTCGGGGGGGGGGGGGCCCTGCTCCGAGGTCCCCCCCAGGAGCATGGACAGCGCAGCTGGCCACTGTGCACAGCTCCCCCTCCCCACGCCCTCGCCCCATGCCCTGTGTGAGACGTCAGCTCCCCCTTTCCGGCTGTGCTCTCCAAAGAACAAACTGGAGACTTTCCCTGAGGTGTCCCAGCTTCCTGTGGGGGTTGGTGGCTGGGCAGGGCGAGTGGGCATCCCCCTACCAGCCTTCTCTCTGGGCCATGATGACCTCAAACCTGACCTTCAGGTCCAGCCCAAAGAGCGTCCCCTCCTCTAGGCAGCTGTCTGCACAGTGTGCAGGCCTGGGGCCTGCAGTGAGCCCCCAGGACCCCCTCCCCCCATCGTGATTCCTGGGGCGCCTGCTGGCCACCTGGGCCAGGTGGGGGCTCTGTCTGTGCCCCCTCACACGCCTGTGTCCAGCACAGGCCACGACCTCCCCAGGGCCTATCAGGCGCACGCAGCTGGCCGAGAAGCCGTCCTCCCACTCACACCCCATGAGCAAACAGGTTCCCCAGACAGCCGTGCAGGGCAGCTTCCTGAGCCCCGGCCACAGCGGGCCCTCCCTGGAACTGGAGGGAGCCCACCCCCACCCCTTCTCGGAGCCCAGCCCACACCTCGGCTCTGGGCTCTGGGTGGTGGGGAGCAGGCTGCGGCCTGGCTGTGGGCCGGCATCCTGCGGTCTCCTCCCCCTGGAGCCCTTGTGGCCATGCAGGGGGGACCTGTGCTGCTGCTGCCACCGCCGCCCCACTGTGACCGGCGCAGCCATGGGCCACGGGGCATGCCTCCTTGGGGTCCTGGGAGGAAGAGCACTGAGGTCCCCTGAGGCCCAGACGGGGACGGGAGCTTCCTGCCTGCCGCAGCCACATCCCCACAGCCAGGCCCCTCGGGCTGCAGGCCCCACGGGGCGCGAGGGCACACAGAGCGTGCGCTCTGTCATCTGCTGGCAGCGCCCGTCACTGGTGCCAGGCTCCGGTGCCTTGGGGGCCGCCTGGCCAGCAGCACTGTGGGCAGAGGCACGGGAGGGTGTGCTCGCCCAGGGAACAGAATGAGAAAAGGCAGGCTGGAGCCTCCTGCCGCTCCCTCCCCCACCCCCACCCCAGCCACACTCGCCGAGGGGCTGTGGCCGCGCCCGGGGTGCTCCCCAGCCCCCCCAGTCAGACCAGACCAGGTCTGACCCAAGGCCTTGGACCCTGCTGCTCCCAAGGTGGGGGCAGGGAACCACCTGCGGCCACCCCAAACAGCCCCAACCTGCTCCAGAGGGCGGGCGGGAACGTGGGTGGGGAGAGGGATGGGGCAGAGGAACGTGGCCAGCTCAGCGCAGTCAGGGCTGAGAGCGGCCTGGCAGGGAGGTGGGAGGTGAGCCCTCCTCTCCCGTGCTGGGGTAAGGGGCGTGCCCCCGGCACCAGGTGGGGTCCCGCTCCTGCTTCCTGGCAGACACTCACTCACCATCTGGCCAGGTCAGGTGCATCTCCGACTCCCAAAGACACACCCCGGCACCGGTCACACAGTGTTAAATCAGCTGACCCCTGCCAGGCCTTCCCAGGCCAGGAGCTGGACAGAGGTGGTCTGTCCGGGCCCTGAGATGTTTCCAGGCTGGGCCCAGGGTGCCCATGTTCTTGGGAAGGAGATGCCCCCACTCACAGGGGAGAGGCCGGAACCCCCCGCCTGGAGAGGTCTGCCAGGGGTGACCCAGGAACCAGGATGCTTCCTCTGGCAGGCTCCGGGACTCAGCACCCAGGCCCTGCATCCAGCAGCTCCGACAGGATGTCCAGGTCCAGGCCAAGGACAAGTCGCCCGCCACTCCCCAGACCCCTCCACCAAACCCAAAGATGCCACATCGCCGCCTGAGGCCCTAGGCCCGCCTGGGCCTCCGCCTCCCGCAGAGGCGGCCCCTCCGTCTGAGCCTAGGGGTGTCCGCACGCCTGCTGTTGACCACTGACGAGACGCCCCCACTGCCCAGAGCCTCCTGTGCAAATATCTCCGCGTGTGTCCACCTGGCGCTCATGGCAGCCGGCGGGGGGCAGGGGGTCGTCTGTGTGACTCAGACCACCTCCAGATGAGGAATGCGAGGGGCAGGGAGCTGAAGGACGGCCCCGAGGCCACAGGCCATCAGGTGGTAAAGCAGAGACCACTGACCCCTGTGCTGTGCTCCTCTGCTTCAGAAGGCGCCCCCCACTGGCTGGCACTGCCCTGGGGCCCGCAGCCCCGGCCCCAGCCCGTGGGCCCGTCCCTCGCTGGGACGGATGAGGCCGCCAAGAGAGGCCCTGAGGCTGGGGACTGGCCAGCCGCGAAGAGCAGTGCTCCTTCCTGCCATCGGTGGTGAGTGGACACTGTCCTGCTCGAAGGTCACCCACGCCTGGGGTGCGCACCCCGAGACACACAGTCACAGCCAGCCTGCTGCGGAGCCCACCCACACCTGCTCGCGCCTCCCTCACGTCTGCCCCCCACCCCCCACCCCTGCTGCCCCGAGTCCACATGCTTCCCACCAGCCTCTGCCTCCACAGGCCCTCCCCACACCACCCTCGCACCATCAGCCTCCAAGCCTGCGCTGCACACCCAGCCCAGGCCCCGCACACGGGGGCAGCCTGGCGGCCGGCCTTGTTCCCCCTCTGGGGCCTGCGCAACACTGACAGCAGCCCACCACAGGCAGACTGGTCTTCGCAGCGAGAACTCCATCTCTGGGTAGAAAGACATGCTCACGCATGTGCCCGGGCAGAGCCAGAGGAGGGGCAAGTCCCCAGCAGAGGGCCCTGAGGAGGGTCCGCAGTGTGCAGGGCCCAGCAGGCAGAGGGGAGAGAGTCTGGGTCCTGGGTGGTGACAGTGACGGCTGGGCTGACAAGCAGGGCAGACTACAGGCTCAGGGGTCACCCAGCCTGACCACACAGTCACCCCCCTACCCCTGCTGGCACAGGCACACACGGCCCACAGCAGCGCCAGCCCCTCTCGTGGGGCTCAGACCAAGCACTGGTCTCGCTGCCCTGAACCTGAGCGGTGGACGGCGCCTCAGAGGGAGCCTGGGTGGGCTGCGGGGAGGAGTGCGCTCGCGCGCACAAAGGGCTGTGCGGGGCCTGGCACCCAGCTCCCTCGCCAGGCGGCTGTCTCCAGGGCCGTTGCTGATGTCATTACCAGACTCTGTTTTCTCCCACCCCCTGGGCTGAAGGGCTCTTGGACACGGCCGCTGACCCCAGATACTGCCCTCCCGGACACGGACGCCGGTGGCCACACTGATGCTCCCGCCCCCAGCGTTTGACCGTAGGCCCTCTGCCAGAAATGCCCTCCTCTCTCCCCCCACACTTCCTCCTGAAAGCCTCCAGCCCCAGCTCGAACGCCACCTCTCCGTGAAGGAGCTCTGAACCCCGCGCCCTCTTCTGCATCCACCGAACCTCCTGGACCTGGCGCACCGCCGTCGGGCCTGCGCGTGAGACCGGAGGCACCGGGGTCAGAGGCGAGCTTTGCGTCCCTGGAGGCAGAGCCGCCCGGCAGTCGGCCAAGGCGGAGAGCCCGTCCCACCCAACGCGGAGCCAGGAGGCCGACCGCCCCGGCCCTCCCACCTCCCCGGCGACCCCGGGGTGCGCCTGGCGCGGTTCTGCTCTGAGTGCGGAGGTCAGGCGCGGCCCGCCCCGTCTCACCGGCCAGCCCGCCTCGGACCCCGGACCGGACCCTGGCGCAGCAGGAGCCCCGGACGACCGTGGCGCTGACCCAGCGCTTCGGGCCCGCCCGCCCCGACCGATCCTCGCTGGTCCCCGGTCCCCGGCACTCACCGCGCGGGTGCGGCCCGAACGCCACCAGCACGAAGTAGTCCGCGAGCCGCGCCATGGCTAGGGGCGCGGGCGGGCTCCGCGGCTCCGGGACGCGAGGGCGGCGCGCTCATGGCCCGGCCCCGGCCCCGATGGGCGCACGCCGGACGCCCCGGGCCCTCTCCGCGGCGGCGGCCAGGGCTCCCGCCGCCATCTTCCCAGCCAGCCGGCCCGCCCGGCCGCGCCGCGCGCCTGCGCGGCCTCGCTCCGCCCCGGAGGCGGGGAGCCCCAGAACAACGCGCTCCCATTGGTTCAGCCGCCCGGGCTCGGCCCCTGGGGCGGGGCCTAGCCTACCACCGCCCCCTCCGGGTCTGGGCACCGGCCCCCGGGCTGTGACAGCGACGGCGGCTCCCGCGGGTCAGAGGCAGGCGCGGCCGGGTCTCCGAGGCTCAGTTCCTGGGCGCTGTCAGCCTGGAGGAAGGCCGAGGGCCCGGGCCTGCCTGCAGGTCTCCCAGATGGGGGCGTCCCCTCGGACCCTGCGGAGGGGCAGGGCCCAGGCCAATTGGGTGGGGTTCCCAGCCCGAGGAGGACTCGAGCCCCACCTGGTCCAGGTGGGGTGAGATTTAACACGTGTCCTTTAAAAAGGCACGCTGCACGTCCCGCTGTAAAGAGCCGTGTTGAAGACACGAGGCCCTGGAGGCCCAGCTGGGTGCTGGGCGAAGGCTGCACCCTTCCAAGTACCCTGACAGTGCCCACCGCCCCCAAGGGTAGGGCTGGGCGGGGAGAATGAATGACGCCAAACCCAGAGACAAGAGCTGAGCCCACCAGACTCGACTCCCCTCCCCTCCCGGGCGCACCGGCTGCCACAGCCTCCTCTGTTGGGTGCTGTCAGCTCTGCTCGAGCTGGCTTCTCCACCTCAGCCAAAAGGGGCTGGGCACCCGGTAGCCCCGCACTGAGCCTGTGCACGGCTGGGCAGGGTCCCTGGCCAGTCCTCCGGCTGGCGTCTGGCCCTCCCCACCCTCCTGCCCTAAGGAGCCTGTTTCTGCTCAGAGACACCCTAGGGTCACGGGAAGCTGGAGGGCCCTTCTGAACCAGGATGCCTCTCCCAAGTTTTTTTGCCATCAAGTTTCCTGCCCTCTGCACTGCCCAGGCCACCCTGCCTGCCTCCTCCCCTGTGAAGAGACTGTGCCTTCCCTGCTCTCCTCCCCAGGCCTTCTTGTGGGGAGTGGCCCTCCCTGATCGATTCTCCTTCGGTCCCTTCACCCGACCCCGCGTGTCTCCCACTACCTGTCATCTGCCAATGCTGTTGGCCCCACCGCCTAGCCTGGTTTTTGTTGTCCCCATCAGGCACACCTCAGCCACACACATGCAGTCCCGCCCATCTGCCCTTCCCTGCACCACCCACAGTGGCCACTGTGGGCACCATGGCCCCAGCCACAGTAGGACACCCCCCCGCCCCCGCCCAGCCTGCTGAGGTCTGGTCAGCTCTCTTGCACTCTGCAGTCTCCGCAAGCCTCTTCCCCCACCTCCTGTGTCTCAGAGGCGGACCCACTACCCTCCTTCCTGGAGAACACAGACGCCATCCCACGGGGGGCCCAAGTGTTGCATCAGCAAACCCCGACCCGCCTCCCTCATCCCTGCCTCCTTCTGCGGTGGCCAGAGGCTCTGCCCCTCTCTCCTCCTCCCTGCCTCTTGCTGCTGCTCCCCGGCGGCCCCAGCCTCAATCTCTCCCTCGCTGAAATCCTTGTCAACAGGGTCAGACTCACGCTCACCTTCAAATGCTCTGCAAAACCGCCCTCGAAGCTGTCAGCCCACCATGGCTTCTCTTGGCCTACACGGATGTCTCTCAGGCAGCCTCCCTGCCTGCTGTGGCCCAGCTCCCGCTCTCCAGGGGAGACGCCATCCCCGAGTGGCTCCCAGCAGCCAGCCCACCACTCCCCGGAGGCAGCTCCTCCAACTAAGGACGAATGAAGGGACCCCTGGGTCCCCCCGGGGGGGCACAAGGACATTACAGCTCATGTGCTGTGCAGGAGGCTGTGGCATCAAAGGAAGGGACCTCTCATCCAGTTGGCAAAATAAGCAGCCTGAGGCCAGAGGACACAGGACACGGTGGCCATCCTTGGGCTTTCAGGGAGATGGGACCTTGGGCCCAAGGTGGCAGTAGGTGTCCCGACAGGAGGCATGCGGTGAGCCCTGGGCCCACACACCTACCCGAGTCTCGCCTGCACCCTGCACCGCCCAGGTAGAAACCTCCCGGAGACAGGGGATTTGGGTGCTTGTCTCTCATTGGTGGGCTGAGTGATGGGATCACATTTGTGTTTGGAAGGGTGGTTCTGGCCCCAGCGTGGAAGACAGAATTGTCCGGGTCCTCTGCCCTCCCCTCCCCACTCCTCCACAGCTGGCACGCAGGGTCTGTCCTCCCTGCACTCTCCACAGACAGTGCTCGCTCGCCCCTGCCTGCCAGAGCCCCGCCGGCTCCGAAACTCCCCGGACCGTGTTTCCCTCCGTGCCCCACTTCAGCCCCGGGCCCGTGAGGGTGGGGGCCCGCCAGACACCCCTGCCAGGGTGGGCCCAGGCTGCTCACCTTCCGTTCTCTCCAGGGACCCCCCACCCTGCGCAGTGTCTCTCCGATGCATCCGCTCGTCCCCATGGCCCCTCCCCCAGTCCCCCCCCCCGCACCCACCTCCCTGCTGACCTCCACTTTTCTAGTGCAAACGTGAGCACCTCGCTGCCCCTCCTCCGCACACGGGTACAAGTAAACAGCAGGAGGACCTGCTGACGCTTCCCACCTTCCCCAGGGTGGACGCAGGCTGGCTGGGGTGGGCCCGTCCACACTTGTGGACTCGTTCACCCGGCGAGTGTTTGCCCAGCCCCGGTGGAGTGCGCCGTGGGAGGGCTGGAGGGGGCACAGAGGGGGCACGGAGGGAGGGAGCCGGGGGCAGGATGCCCCCGCCCCCCGCTGTGAGGGAAGGCAGGTGAACACAGAGATGCTCGGTCAGCCAGGAAAGGGGCACGGACCATCGTCCCCTCTCCGAGGGTCGAAGAGGCAAAGACCCCCCTAACACCAGGTCCACCAGGGGTTGACGGTGGATTGGCTCGAGCTTCGTGGAGAACAAGTTGGCACTAACTGTTGACACAGGCACGGCTCACCCTCACCCAGCATTCCCACTTCTAAGACAGTGCCCCGTGGAGACACGTCTATGAGCCCGCAATGCAAGGGTCCCTCTGGAGACTGGCTACTTGCTGGTCACTGAGGGGCCAGTTAAGTAAGTCACAGAACACCTGCACGTTGGAGCAAGGCCAACAGCAAGACAGTCGGGAGAGCTCCATGTCTGCGTGTGTTTTTAGCTCTGCGTGCGTGTTGTGTGTGCGTAACATACAGGAGAAAGTCAGGAGTGGGGCGTCCACCCCATCTGGTGCAGGAGCCCACAGTGGGTGGCAAGGGGGGGTCTCCCTTTTTACTCGTTCAAATTTCTGACAAAAACCAGTTAGTACAACACTTCCGTACGGAGGGGGAAACGGTCTGGACTTCCAGAGGATCCTGAGGGGCCTTGAAACTGTGTCTGTGGGGAACACAACCGCCCACCTGCTGTGCTCCCCAGCAGAGATGCTGGCTGGGCGCCGAGACGCACCCCAGGAGGAGAGGTGGGGGTGGGGGTCGGGGGTGGGCAGCAGCCCTGTGCCCAGCTCCTGCCACCCAGGAGGTCGGGCCCCACCTCCAGGCTCCAGGAAAGTGTCCCCCACCGGAGGGATGGGGTCCCGGGGCTCAGCCCCTTCGGCCACCCCTTCCCTGAGCCGGCAGTGCCGCCCCACAGGCTGTGCGGGACTGGGGAGCTGGGGGGGGGGATGGGGTAGGGAGCCCTGGCTCAGCCCGCCTAGTTGCCACCTCCTCCTGGAAGGGCTATTTAGCTCAGCAGGTGCCGAGGCTGCGTCCCAAGCTCAGCGGACAGACACAGGCGCCAGCCTGCCTGCCCCCACGTGGAGGGCTCCCCACGGAAGGGTGGCTCCCGGCCAGCCCCTGCCCCAACTCTGCACCCTCTGGCTCGCTGGCCTCCAGCCCCACGGCATGGCCCAGCTCCTGCTGGTTACCCTCGGTTGCATCAGCCTCCTCTACCTGCAGCTCCCCGATGCGCTGTCTGGCTGCCAGGGCAGGAGCCCGCGGCCCGCCCAGCCCAGGTGAGTGGGCCCCAGGCCTGCCCTCCCCTGGATGGAGCCGCAGAAGCCGGAGTGCCTGGGGAGGCCCCCTTCTCTCCCGACTGCTTCCCGTTCCCCCGCCTCTGCGTTGGGGAAGATACCCCCAAATCGAGAGCCAGCCCCCCATGCCTTCAGCAACCCCTGAGCGGGGCAAGAGTCCCCTCTTTCCTTGCCTCCCTTCCCAGGGCAGCCCTCTGCCCCCGTGCTTGAGAGTAGCCCCCTCCACAGAGAGGTCAGCAAGGGCGCCAGAGGCTGGAGGGGTCCCCTGGCCTGCCCACGTCCTCTGAAGTACCCCGGGAAGGGCTGGGGGGGGGCAGTCACTGGACCTGAGCATAGTGACCCACCGAAGCCAGGGGTGCCCTTGGCCCTGGGAGGCCCCAGTGAGTGAGACGTGGGGCCTGAGCTCCTGAGAGGGTGGAGGAGCCGGGCCCCACGCCCTGGCAGTGCTCCAGGCCGGCAGTGGGGATCCCTGAAAGGCTGTGTCCTCAGGTTTGCTTGCTCCATCTACCCTGCAGGGCACCTCCCGCCCGGACGCCCTGCAGCAGGCTGCAGCCCCAGCACCCCGCACCGTGGCCCAAGACCCGGAAGCCAGGCCAGACCCCGCGCCTGCAGCCATCGAGGAGTGCCAGCCTGTCCCCTGCTGCGGGCCAGCCTCTCCAGAAGGTTCCCTGCCGACCCTCGGGCCCCCCGAGGCCCAGAGCCCCGCTCCTGCGGGCGGGCTGTGTGCTGGCCACCTGCCAAGTGCAGAACCTCAGCCACCGCCTGTGGCAGCTGGTCGCCTCGGCCGGCCCCCAGGACTCGGCTCCCGTTGACCCCAGCAGCCCCCGCAGCTATGGCTGAGGCGGGGCAGGCCACCCCCCGCCCGTCCCAGCCAGGGGCTGTACCCCACCCCAGAGCAGCCCCCCGCCCAGTCTCCTGCAGGCAGCGACCACTCCATCAGTGGGGGGAGGGGACACGGAGGAGACCTAGCCACACACCCACCAGGTGCAGCAGCCTTGAGGGGCTTTGGACAGGTGGACGCAGGTACACGCATGACCCCAGGCAGGTCTGTGGGCAGAGCCCAGACGCCTGGGGCTCTGTGCACGTCAGGGGTGGGCCCCCCCTCTGGGGGCCAGTCTGATGCGGAGGCGGCCAGCGCACTGAAGGGCTTCAGGGGGGAGAAGTCTGCTGCAGGACATGGGCGGGCATCGGCCCCTGCCGCGCAGCGCCAGCCACCTCTGGGCGAGCAGGGCACAGGGGCCCGGCGGGCCCGGCGGCACGACCCTTTCCTGCTGGGCCCACTGTCAAATCAAACGCAGCTTTGGGCCCGCCTGGTGCCCGGCCCTAGGTCCCCCTGCCCCCGCCGTGGGACTGGGAGGGCAGCAGGGAGGCGGACCCCACTCGGGGCCCCAGGGCTGGCTGAGGGGCGCAGGCTGTGCTGTGAGCAGAGCCTGGGCCCAGGCTGCAGCGAGGCCCCGTCCGCACCCGCTGCGGGGAGCTCCGGAGGAGGGCCAGGGGTTCAAGAGCCACTCGGGGTGTTCTGGGGCAGAGCAGAGAGGAACACCCCTCCCCTCCTCAGGCCAGGCAGGCTGGCTTGGGGACACGATCTCCCAGCCGAAATAGCTCAGTGCAATCAGAACCAACCGCCAGCACTGCCGGGGGTGGGGTGGGGAAGGCCGACGGGGGTGGGGGGGGCACACAGGCTCCCTCCCCCCACCCCACCCCCGGCAGTGGTGAGGACTCAGTGGGACCAGGTGTGGGGACAGCAGGAGGGTGGACCCAGCGCGTCAGGAACCTGAGGAGGGGGCCGGTGCACAGCCAGCCTGCCCATTGAGCTCTTATGTGTGTCCCCGGGGGGGGGGCTTTACCTGTGGGGACAATAGAGGCTGTCGGGTACCCCGAGGTGCTGACACCCATGCCAGAAGGGCACAACCCAGGGTTCAGAAAGGTGGCCTCTTTCATTTAGCAAACCCTCACACGGCACTTAGCGTGTCAGCATTCAGCTGTGTCGCCCTTTCGGCCGCCCCACGAAGGGGCACGATCATTACCCCAACTTCAGGGACAGAGACTGCAGCCACCGAGGTCGGGGACAAAGCCACGTCCGTGCAGGGCCCACCCACGGAGCCCAAGCTCTGGGTCAAGGGCAGGAGACTCCAGACGCACCTGGGCAACCTGGGCCTCCCCTGGGCTTGCTCCTCCACCTCAGGGATCGCCTGGCCAGGTCGAGCACCTGCCCCCCCGCAGGCCCTGGGGAACGAGTTCGGGCTGCCCCCTGGCCCGCCGGCGCAGCCGGAGACCTCCAGGCTGAGGGGGACGGGCTGAGGACTGCAGGGTCCCCGGGGAGGGGCCGGGCCCCTCACCCACAGGACGCGCCAGTGCAGCTGGGGAGGCCGGGGGAGGCCCCCAAACAGCAGCTCCACGAGGCTGGAACTTGTGGGCGGGCCTCGGAGCCACGTGCCTGCGGTCACGGAGGGGTGTCAGCGGGGGCAGGCGGGCAGGGAGGGCAGTGAGGAGGGGCCAGGAGGCCCACGCTGGGCGAAGTCCCGGGCCTGCCTGGGGTCTGGTCCTGCACACGGGGCGTTCCCTCTGCCAGGGGCCTGAGGGCACCCTGCTCACTGGGGAGGCCCCTCGGTGTCCTCGCTGAGACACCCCCGGGCGTTGGGCTGCTCCTCCTTGAAGCAGGATGGACTGTTGACCTGAATGCATCACTTTGTCATGTCACCTGCCGTGAGGTCACCTGCGTGAGGTCACCTGTCGTGGTCAAAGCCTCTCCCCTGGGGTCCGCTGCCCCGAGCTCCAGTCCAGCTCTGGCCAGCCGCCGACCTGACACCCCCCGAGGGGGCCGACCCAAGCTCCCCGCCCCCCACCCACCCACTGCCTTCCTGCAGCCCCTGCTTCTGGCCAAACCTTTTGTGAACCTAAAAAATAAAAGGCCTTTCAAAACGAGAGGCAACAAGTGTTTACTGAAGATCAAAGGAGAGCTGATCCCGAATCACGATTCCAGCATAAGCCCCAAGCGTCCCTGTTAGGACACGGAGGCGGCGGGCACGCGAGAGGAGGGGCGGTGCGGGGGCAGTGACGCCCGCGGCAGGAAGGCGTCACCGTGGGCGCAGACACCGCGCGCAGCCAGCGAGGCTGCTGCTGAACCCCGTGCAGATCCTTCAGTGCCGTGGCCGTCCCGTCTGCTTCCTCGCCAAGTCTTTGCGAACGGTTCTTTGGAGCACGGGGCTGCCCAGGCCCACGGGGCCGCGGAGGCCAGCCTGCCCTGCGTCGACCCCCAGAGGTCCGAGGCACGTGGTGCGCGAGGCAGGCGGTCCCTCTGGGGCGGCTCTCCCCGTTCTAGCCCGGGCCTTCCTTCGGAAGCTTTGCGGGTCCGGTTCCGGAAAGCGGCTCTGGTCCGTTTGCAAGGCTCCGCGGTCGGGGTGGGTGGGGGCTCGTCTGGCACCTCTGCCTGCTTCCGCCTCCTGTCTCCGCGCAGGCTCGCGCGCGCTGCGTCGTGCCCCACGCGGGAGGGAAAGCGGGTTTTTAGGGGCATCAGGCCACCCTGGAGCAGCGAGCACGCGGGGGGGGGGGCTACCTTCACGTGGACGCCCGCACCGGTCTTTTCCCGCCGGTTCTCCTGGGCGGTCCTAGAGGCCGCGGCGGTCACCTCCGCGCGCGCCGAGCGGCGGGGTCAGAGAGAGGCCGCTAGGACGCGGAGCTGAGCCGAACGAGGGTGTGGGACCCCCAGCGGTTCCCCAAGAACCAACGAAACGCTGAGTTCAACTGGGAGGACAGAGCTGGAGCAGGCGGCCAAGCCTGCGGGCCGTGGGGGAAGACTAGGAGGACCTCCGGGGGCGGGGGGGGGGGGGTGCTGCGTGCAACCGTGTGGCCAGGCCCGGACTTCACCCAGTTTCATCCCCGCTCGACCCCAGGTGTTTGATCACAGCAGGCGCACCCGCTCGTTCAGCGAGGGTGCAGCCAGGGGCAGATCTGTTCTCACAGCGCTCGCGCGAGGGACCGTTAAGGCTTTGCTGCCGGCTCCTGCGGTGTCCGTGTCCGTGTCCGTGTCCAAGGAAGGGCGCCCCCGACCCCCACTGGGGCCCACCCCGCCAGGCACCGGGCACCCCCGACGCCCCGCGGGACCAGCTGTCTGCTCTGGCCTGGGAAGTAGGTTAAAGCTGAGGTCCAATGTGAACCTTCCGGCCAGAAATTAAGGGGGAAAGGAAACAAGGACTGCTCGTAGGGAGTGCTTGGTCTCCGTGTTCCGTTTGGGAGACGAGAGGGGACGGAAGGAAGGAAGGAAGGAAGGGCAGGTGTAGAACGGCGCAGGCCTGGTCCGGAATCCGGGGCTGGCCGCCCCCCAGCGGGCGCCGCCTGCTGCGCTCCCAGCGACGTCGAACTCCCTTCCCTCTGCTGGGCGGGCCGTCCAGTCGCCGACGGAGCTTCCTTTCCCCGGAAACCCGAGCCCGAGACTCAGCGCCTTTCATGTGGCCGCTCGTGGGTCAGTGAAGAGCGCCCTAAGTTCTGCCGGGATCGGGTAGGCAGGAGAAGAGAAATGTTTTAATTTTTTTTTTTTTACAAAGGCATAATTTATCAAATTGCTACAGGTCATAGGTAGCTTAGGAAGAAAAAACTTTTATCTGAAACACGAGGATCGGAAACCAGTAACATTTAATATAAAGAGTCAAAATTAGCCCTGGCTGGCGTAGCTCAGTGGATTGAGCGCAGGCTGCTCACCAAAGCATCGCAGGTTCGATTCCCAGCCAGGGCACATGCCTGGGTTGCAGGCCACGGCCCCCAGCAACAGCACATGGATGTCTCTCTCTCTCTCTATTTCTCCCTCCCTTCTCTCTCTAAAAATAAATAAATAAAATCTTTTAAAAAAAGAGTCACAAAATTATAATCATCGGTATTGGTTCATTTACTCCAAGGGCATCTTATTGCCCTTGATCTTTTTGCTAAGTTTTTTATTTTATTTTATTTTATTTATTTCTAGACAGAGGGCAAGGGAGGGAGAGAGAAACATCAGTGTGTGAGAGAGACGTTGGTCTGTTGCCTCTCACACGCCCTCACTGGGGACCTGGCCCGCAACCCAGGCGTGTGCCCTGACCGGGAGTTGAACCGCTGACCTTCCTGTTCGCAGGCCCGCACTCACCACACCAGCCAGGGCTTGTTAACAGTTTTATGATACAGTTTTCCCTTAGAGCTCTCTAAATCTTTAGTCAGTTCAGTGTTACACTCTTAAAGCTGTCAGAAACCCGTATGTTAGAGCACTTGTCGCTCTGTTTTTACGACTCTGAAGGTGATACCCACTGGTAGGAACGCGTCTGTCTAAACATCGTACTGAAACACTAACAGTCTGCAAACGACAAAGGACTTAAAACCGGACTCGGGGAGAGACTTGGTGGGAGCCCCCCCCCACACACACAAATGACATGATTGACCAAGCGACCCATCCCACTCTTTGTGTGACCTGTACATACTCACATGGATTTATATAGAAACGATAGAATACTTTTTCTCACCCCCCCAAAAAAATCCCGCACAAACCTTCTGCAAATCTCCTACACCTCCTACAACATACACAGACCTTTCAGTTTTTGTCCTATTATTTCCTCTCACTTTTTTAAGTTTTTTATCTTGACATGAAGATATTTTTTCATCACTTTTAGAGAGAGAGAAAGGGAGAGAGACGGGGCGACATTAATTGTTTGCCTTCTCACATGCGTCCCCACCAGGATCGAGCCTGAAACCTGGGTGTGTGCCCTGACCAGGTATCAAAACCACGACCTTTCCGTCTGCTTGACAAAGCTCTAAGCTGCTGCGCCATGCCAGCCAGGGATTCTTTCTTAGTTTGAAACATTTTTTTAAAGATTTTATTTATTTATTTTTAGAGAGGGAAAGGAGGAGGAAAGAGAGGGAGAGAAACATCAGTGTGTGGTTGCCTCTCAAGCGCCTCCTCCTACTGGGCACCTGGCCCACAGCCCAGGCCTGTGCCCTGACTGGGTTTCCAACCAGCGACCCTTCGGTTCACAGGCCGGCGCTCAATCCACTGAGCCACACCAGTATTTCATATCGTATCGTATTTTTCATATACAGTCATGTTGTTTCATCCTTATTGGTTTTTAGTAGTTTTATAGAAAACTGTTTTACAAATTAATTTTAGCAAGGGAATTTATACACAGTTTGCGTTTTAAAAAGGTCTCTCTTTTGCAATGTCCATGGACAGTGTTTTGGTAAGTTCCTGCGTGTTTACAGTTCAAAGGCATGGTAAGAGTCACAACTTTAAAACTAAGGTTTTTAGTTTCATACTAGGACATGTCAGAATTTTATGTAATTTTTGGAACATTTATATTAATGACACATGTACATAAATATAAGCAAAGGCTTCATGTCACTTATTTGGCAATGTCTCCGGTGTAATTTCACACACCAAGTGAGCTTAATTAGTTTAATGTCTCTCTTTTATAAAGAGAGAACGTAAATATTTTGAGGTGTTTCAGGGGCCCTCTGGAAGACCTCAAACTTATTCTTTGGTAAGACTTAATTTAGAATCTGATTTGGGGAAGTCTGTTAAAATATCAAAAAATTTTAAACATTGGGTCAAAGAGATTAATTGCAGGTCATCGTGGGACAACACTCCGTGAAACAATATTTCATCACCTAATTAACCAAAGTGAGAATAACAGGTTGCAAAGACAATCACAGAAGGTTACAGAGTTGTAAGCAAAAGTTTAGCTCTTTGAGTATGGACAAGAGTCCGTTCACTTGAGCGGTTAAAGGCCTGGAGGGAAAGAACACAGAAGAGCATTGGAATGAAACATAAAAATCTTGGCTTTCCCTTTACAATTTCTTACCAAGAGCATGCCAATAGTATGGGGAAATTTTGTTCTGTTAGCAGAGAAACAACACTAAGTTTTAACTTCACATAAACACAAGCTTGATACTAAAGTTGAATTTTTTAACCATTATAATAACAATTTAATTTTAGCCAGCTGAATTATGAGGTAAAACTAAAAAATAACGAGGACAACATTGTTTCCATTTCCCTTCACGAAAACATATCTTTATACATGTTCTCTTACTGAAAACTCACATTAATTTTTTCCACCCTCTGCGACCACCTCTTCAGGACACAGGTGGCTTCCGGCCGGGTGCACAGGTCGCTTTCCCTGTTTCAACATCCCAGAGGTTTGAGGCGTCAGTAGTGCCAGGCTGTTCCTGGCGTCCGGGGGGCGGTGTGGCAGCTTCCCCTTCATTTTAAAGGGGCTCCGTTTATATCTTTGTTCGCAGTCCTCACCCCCCTCCCACCTGCGTCACCCAAACCCTCTCCGCCGGCCATTCGCTCCTTCTCCTGGGCCAGGCCACCCCCTGCTTTGGGGGCGATGGCACAATGGCTCCTGCCTCCTCCCTGGACCCCGTTCTCTGTCCCTCTGGCAAACGCGGGAAGCATCACGGAATAAAACACGCCCCCCTCCCCCCTGCCGAGCTGGCACTCTGGTGGGAGGCCACAGAGGGAGACAAACCTCCAAGGTCAAGTAAGCACGCGGCGCCCGCCGTGTGAGAAGTTCAAGGTGCTGGGGGGCACAGAGCAGCTGAGAGCCCCGAGACAGGCTGTCCTCCGCCAGTTTACACGGTGGGCGGCGGGGGGGCGGTGCCCCCACCTGTTTGCAGCGCCGGCAGGAGGAGTCCGAGGCAGTAGGAGCAGCCCGCAGCGGGGGCTCTGGCCCACTCGCCCACCGGCCCCGCGAGCGGCGGCGTCTGTCGGGACGAGGTGACGACCGTCTCGGTGTTCGTCTGCTCTTCTCCGGAGAGCGAGCCTTGGTCCCAGGCGAGCGTGCTGGTCAGGCTGGGTCCTGCCGTGTCCGCAGGAGCCGGGCCCCGCCACGCGTGACCAGTGCGCTTTGATTCGGCTCTGCCCAGACTCGGAACGGAGCCTCTCACCCCGGGCGCCTGGCACAGACCCACCCGGACCAGGCCCTCCGCGCCCCGCGGCCCGGCCGCCCCCCCCGCCTGGCCGCGGAGTCTCCGCGCCCCGCCCCGTCTTCAGCCGGAGTCCTGTCGGGTCAGGCGAGCGGGACGCCCCTGCTCCTGCGTCCCCTCCGGCCAGTCTTCCTTCCACGGACCCCCACCCCCGCCCGCCGGCCCAGGAGAGACCGTTCCACACCCTGACCGCCGCCCGACCCGAACGCCCCGGGCCAGGGGGGGCGGCTGCCTACTGCAGAGCCCACGTGGAGGCTGGCTGTAGCTGGCGGCCCTCCCGGCCCCCTGCTGAGCGCCGCTCGCCGAACCGGCGGGGGGGAGGGGGGGGCGGGCGCTGGCCTGGCCAAGCGTGGGTCACGCAGTTCCTGCCCCCGGAGCACTCCTGCAGGAGCGCCCCAGACCGGCGCCCGGGGCCAAGGCCCGCCTCAGCCTGCATGCCCTTCGGCCCCTGCCGGGCGGTGCAGGGGTCCGACTGCTCCTGCAGCTGCCCAGGTGACCCACCTCCCGCGTGAGGTGCCCGGAACAAACTCTGCTAATTACCAGAGCGGAGTGGCAGCCTCTTCCTGCGGGCCCCCTGCCCCCGCACGCGCAGAGCCGGGGCTGCCGTGGGGGGGGGGGGGCTGTCCTCAGGTCTGCGCACAAACCCTGCTCCCCACTCTGCTCCCGGCTGTCCTGGCTGCATTCGGGAGGAGCCCCAGGCCCACAGCAACCACGGCCGCCGTCAGCGAGCCCTGCCTCCCCGTTTCAGCGAGGGTCAGAGCAACTTTCCGGAACCCGCCGCTGCCCAGAACCCCAGGGGCCTGAGGACTCGGGGGTGGCGTCCCGGTCCCACCCCCGCTCCGGAGGGGCCCACGCTGGGTGTGGCAGCGTTTGACGGGAGTGGGGCAAAGCGACCGGACATCCTAAGCAGGCCAGCTGGCCGGGGTGGGGGCGGGGGTGGGGGGAAGGGGGGCGTCTGAGCTCAGGAAGAAGGGGCTGGGACCGCTCCAGTGCTGACACATTAATTCGCTGAGGCTGGCGGGGGGGGGGGGCGTTGTCATTCATTACCAAGGGTCCAGGTCAAGGGGCTGCGTGGTGTCGGCCACTTACGTAACCTGTGAGCACACATATAGGGGCACAGGGCCGGTGGGACTCTTGCCCCCTGGCAGCTCGGCCCGGTCTCAGGATGAAGGTGGCTATGGTGAGTCCCCAGACCCCGCACAGACCGGTCCCCCTGGCTGCTCACTGGTGGCCAGCTGTTCCTCGCGGAAAGGGCCGATGCCCAGGCTCCCGGCGCGCCCAGAGCTCCGGAAGGAAGGGCACGTGGAGTCCCTGCCCCTCACAGCGACGCTGGGGAGCAGGCACGGGCCGCCGTGCCCTCCGTGGAGCAGGACTGGCCGAGGCTGCCGGCCGGTGCGGGGCTGGGCTCGGGTGTGCTGCGGTGCGGCTGTGCTCTGGGGCGACCACTGGCCTCGGGTGGTCTCGCGCCCCCAGTCGGTGGGGGACGGGGAGGGAGTGTCCTCACAGAGCTGGCGTCGTAGTGAAATGGGTGCAATCCCCACCCACCAGGGTGCAGACCCTTCCCTGGTCTACAGGCCTGAGGTAGACCCGGAGGCGGCCAAGGACAAGGGCAGCTTCCGCAATTACACCGTGAGCACCTCGCCCCGCCCCGCCCCGCCCCCCCAGCCCACTGGCCTACCCCAGGCCCCAGCCCTCCCGCAGGAGGGTGACACCCCTCGTGGCACAGGTCCAGGGCTGGCCCCGGGAAGCGGCCCTGAGCACCTGTGAGGCCCGCCCTGGGAGAGGGGAGGCGGTGGGCCCCCTGGGCGTGAAGCGCAGGGACGGGGCCCCACCTGGCCGACCCTCTGGCCCGCAGTCCGGCCCGCTCCTGGACCGCGTCGTCACCACCTACAAGCTCATGCACACGCGGCAGACGGTGGACTTCGTCAGGAGGAAGGTACCCGGCTGACGCCTCCGGGCGGCTCCAAGGGCGGGGCTGCCCTGCCGGAGAGGCAGAGGGGACGGAAAGGGATCGGGCCTGGTCCGCCCGAGCCCCTGCTGACCCCGCCCTTCCTGGCCCAGCGCGCCCAGTTCATGACCTTCTCCTACAAGAGGATGACCGTCATGGAGGCTGTGGACATGCTGGACGAGCTGGTGGACGAGTCGGACCCGGACGTGGACTTCCCCAACTCCTTCCACGCCTTCCAGACGGCCGAGGGCATCCGGAAGGCCCACCCAGACAAGGGTGCGACCCCGCCCCGTCCCGCCCCGCCCACACCCTGCCCAGACCTGTTCCTCCCCTTCCCTGGCCCAGCACCCCCACCAGCCTGCCCGCCCTGTTTCTCTCCTCCCAGACTGGTTCCACCTCGTGGGGCTCCTGCATGACCTGGGGAAGGTCCTGGCCCTGGCCGGGGAGCCCCAGGTGAGGGCAGGGGCAGAGGGCGTTCGGCAGGGCAGGGCCGGGACATCCTCAGCTCTGGGCTCAGGCACTCGCTTGGTGGGCAGGCCTGTCAGGCCCACCCACGGCTGCCTGTCCTTCCCCAGTGGGCGGTCGTGGGAGACACCTTCCCGGTTGGCTGCCGTCCCCAGGCCTCTGTGGTTTTCTGTGACTCCACCTTCCAGGACAACCCCGACCTCCAGGACCCTCGATACAGGTGCCCCTCCACACTGCCTGGCCCCCCCCCCGCCCCTGTTCCCAGGGGGCTTCTGAGCCCTCACCCTCCACCTCTCCCCGCAGCACGGAGCTGGGCATGTACCAGCCGCACTGTGGGCTGGAGAACGTCCTCATGTCCTGGGGCCACGACGGTGAGGCTGGGTAGAGGCAGCAGCAGGGACGGTCTGCCCGAGGCGGGGGCGGCCCCTTTGGGTGCCTGGTGGTGACGCCCTCTCTGTCACAGAGTACATGTACCAGATGATGAAGTTCAACAACTTCTCCCTGCCCACAGAGGTAAGTTGGGCGGGATGGGGGGGGGGCGGCCGCACTGAGCGCCCAGCCCAGCCTGGCCCACGCTGGGTGTGGCCTCCTTCTGTCCCCAGGCCTTCTACATGATCCGGTTCCACTCCTTCTACCCGTGGCACACCGGGGGCGACTACCGGCAGCTGTGCAGCGCGCAGGACCTGGCCATGCTGCCCTGGGTGCAGGAGTTCAAGTACGGCCAAACCCTCGGAGACTGCGAGGGGTGGGGGAGGGCACGGGGCCGGGGGGCTTCTCCACCGGTCACTGTCCCTTCCTTGCTGCAGCAAGTTTGACCTGTACACCAAGTGTCCTGACCTGCCGGACGTGGATAAGCTGCGGCCCTACTACCAGGGGCTCATTGACAAGTACTGTCCCGGGGTCCTGAGCTGGTGACCAGCCTGCCTGCCCTGCTCGGGCCCGTCCCAGTGCTCCAGGGTGACCGCTGCTGTCGGGCACAGTGACACCCCAGCCTCTCTGGGGGACTCCAGACACCCGTCTGCGCTCTGTGCTCCCCACCCTAGTAGCCTCTCGCTCGGGGGCAATAAAGACCTTGACTCGTGGCCCTGGTCGGGTAGCTCAGGTGGTTACGGCGTCGTCCCGATGCACCAAGGTCGTGGGTTCAGCCCCCGGTCAGGGCACATGCAAGAATCGACCAAGGCATGCATGAATGGATGGAACGACAAATCGATGTCTCCCTTTCTCTCTCTCTCTCTCACTTCCTCTAAATCAATTAAAAAAAAAAAAAAAAGACCTTGACACAGCTACAGTCTGTCCTCCCCGAGCCGCGGTGCGGCCCATCAGGCTGCATGGTGGTCTGCGGGCAGGGAGACCAGACCGTGGCCTCTTGGACATGTGTCCTGCTGTGCCTGTCGCCGTAAAGATCTTTCTCATCCTCCCAGCTCCCACGTCCAAACCTGGGGTCACCCTAGTGCCCTCCCTTTCTCAAAACGGTCACCAAGCCTTTTAGTTCAGCCTCCTTAAACAAAACCAAAACAGAACAGCTCAGCTAAAAGAAGGCACTCCAGAAACATGCAACAAGGGCACCGGATGACTGCTGTGAACCAGCCCCATGGGTACCCACCCCTGCCCCTCCCGTGTCCAGGTGCAGCCCCACCTTGGCTCAGCCAATCACCTCCCCACATGTGGTTTCCTCCCCTTGGGGTGCCCCCAGGGCCACAGCTTAGCTGGCTTCCCCTCGACCAGCAGCAGTTTATCTCTTTGAAAGAAGTAGCTCATTTGTCTCAGGGAATTTCCTTCTGTCGAAATTTGCCCATCGCAGCCCCGCGGCATCTAGCAATATTCCCTCGGTATTTCCTGCTCCTTGGTAAATAAACGCAGAGACCCCATCCGATTCAGGTGTGGCTCGTGGGGGGCAAGAGCGCCTCAGAGGCGGCGGCGAGTTCTCTGAAGGAGGCTCAGCAATGTCAGTGTCACCTAAGACCGTCCCTAACCGTTAGGAGGCTGGACAGCGACGGCCCGCCGCCTCCCCCCTCCCCCCTCCGGGCAGTCCCCAGAAGCTCCTCCTCCTGCTGCTGACTGCTCGTGCCCGCCGGGCAAGTACGTGCTCGCTCGTCTGTCTCAGAGTTTGC